TGATTTGGCAACGCTGATGTCTGAAGGGACATGATGACCTTTTTGGATATAGTAGTTATTCGAGTAAATTGTTTTTTACCATTGAGAATAACTAAATGTGGTGACTTTGATAATTTTTTCCCTTTAAATACTCTTCATATTTAAAATTTTTTAAATTTTATTTTTACTTTATTTGAAAGGCACATAGAGAACCTTCCATCAGTTGGATCACTCTCTAAATTGCCCACAACTACTGAGGCTATACCAGGTCCAAACCAGGAATCTGGTTCTTAATCCAGCTCTCCCCTGTGAGTGGCAGGGACACAAGTACTTAAGCCTTCACTGCTGATTCCAGGGTCTGATTAACAGGATGCTGGAACTCAAATCTAGGTGCTGAGATGAGATGGAGGTGACTCAAGTGGCAGACTTGGACTTTCTGTTGTTCTTCTTCTATTATATAAGGACAAGGCATAATTATCAGAGAGCGGAGACACCAGAAAAAGGGATCTTTCAATACCACTGGGTTTCATTTCCCAAAATGGGCTGGCAATGGCTGGGGTTGGGCCTGGCCGAAGGCAGGAGCCGGGAGTTTTATCTGGGTCTTCTATGTGTGTGCAGGAGCTCAAGAACTTGGACTATCTTCCACTACTTTCCTAGGTGCATTAGCAAGGAGCTGGATCAGAAGTGGAGTGGGGCGGCATAATGGGTAAAGCTGCCGCCTGCAGTGCTGGCACCTTATATGGGTGCCAGTTTGTGTCCTGGCTGCTCCATTTCCAATCCAGCTCCCTGCTAATGTGCCTGGGAAAGCAGTAGAAGATGGCCCAAGTCCTTGGGCCCCTGCACCTATGTGGAAGATCTGGAAGAAGCTCCTGGGTTTGGATTGGCCCAGCTCTGGCTGTTGCAGCCATTTGGGGAGTGAACCAGTGGATGGAGGACCTCTCTCTCTCACTCTCTCTGCCACTGGCTTTCAAATAAATAAATAAATCTTAAAAAAAAAAAAAAAAAAGGAAGAAGTGGAGCAGCCGGGACCAGAACCAGCACTCATTTGGGATGCTGACATCCCAGGCATAGCTTAACCCACTAAGCCACAATACCACAGGGAGGGGTATGTGTATGTGCCCAAGTGGCCTTTTAAACCACCATGCCAAATACCCACCCCCTTCCCTTTTCTCTTCTAAATGCTTTAGCCTGAGCCATTTTTACTTTTATTTAAGTAGATGGTAGTATGAACCAATAGTATTTTAGTAGAATTTTTTTTTAAATATTTATTTATTTATTTGAGAGGTAGAGTTATAGACAGTGAGAGGGAGAGACAGAGAGAAAGGTCCTCCCTCTGTTGGTTCACTCCCCAGATGGCCACAATGGCAGGAGCTGCGCCGATCCGAAGCCAGAGCCAGGAGCTTCTTCCCAGTCTTCCACGTGGGTGCAGGAGCCCAAGGACTTGGACCATCTTCTACTGCTTTCCCAGGCCATAACAGAGAGCTGGATTGCCAGAGGGGCAGCCGGGACTAGAACCTCTGCCCATATGGGATGCTGGTGCCGCAAGCAGAGTATTAACCTACTGGGCCACAGTGCTGGCCCCAGTAGAATGGTTTAAGGGGCTTAAGCTCTACATTTTTGAAGCATATGTACAAGAATGTTCTGAGAATAAAAAAAATCCTACCTGAATACCTGGGAGCTGTTTGACCAAAGAACATAGTAAAAAGAGCCCTATTTAAAATCATACCACAAGAGAAAAATCAAAGTATGTTATTCTGATATATATATATTCTTCCAGACTTACTGAACAGAGTAATTTCATACACACACACACATAATAAGTTTTTAAAAGATGCTATTTTTGAGACTAAAGTAAAAAGCAGATGTGCCTAATATAGAAATAACTTCTTTTAACTCTGGTACTAGGTCTCTCATCTTCATATTTGTATCTTGGCTCACCTTCACAAAAATATATGCAATAATGGTTTTACGTGTCCAAGTACTTCAATACTTAAAATATAAATAGTGCTATTACTTTATATGTATTATATATTTTGGATGAGCTATTTCTCATCCAAACATATTTTTTAAGGCAGTAAAGATTCTTTTGTTCTGCTAGAAATTAAAAGTCACAAAACCATAAATGTTCCATAGAATTCTCAAGAGTGTCTTAAAATTTAATTTTAAGTGGGTTTCCTGTGTACCAAAATGGTTTATGCTCTAAAAGCACACACAGTGATGAAGAGTGAACTACTTCCCAGTTCAGCCCGAAGATTCTGGACAGCTGCCCTGTAAACATCAATCTTGTATTTCAGACAAGAAATGATTCACATTCTGTACTAGTGCAGTAATAGATTTTTCCAAGAAACAGCCTACAAGTCAATGTTTAACTTGAAAGCAAACTAACAAACAAACAAAATATCTTCCAGGCTGTACAGAGCCTATCCCCAAACTTGTTTAATCAGATTAAGCAAAGTCAGGACAAGAGTCCATTATTTTCGTTACGACTGAAAGGTCTGGCTGACTTTACAATCCTCTTTTCAGAATGACTGAGATCTCTTTAACAGTTTAAGCAACTTTAGCAAGTAACTCTTGTCACGGGGAGTAAACTTTTACAAGTGGGGAGAACTGCATTATGATGAACATGATTTTATGACTTGCTTCCCTTCAGCAGATCCTATGTTGTGAGCAAAGTGATGTTGCAAAATGCCTACAAAGGAATCTGTTTAACAGGAGATTAAAAGCCACAGAAACGCAAGTTTCCTCTCAGCACCTTATTTAACAAAACTATTTTACAGGCAGCATGCTCATCTACTTTCCCCATTTAATTGCATAGCAAAATGACTTATCTGTAGAATGCTACCTTGGTGTTATTATTAGGCTTTTCATTTTTATGGTGCTGCTAACGGTGGCTGCACAAATGACAAATCTTTGCTCATTTCTGATTGGAGACATGCACATAGTTTTTCTGCCACAGATCTCACATCTTTATGAACTGTAAAACAGCCTAAGGCACCTGCAGAACAAATATCTTTCCTAACCATAAGACCCCATGCTTGGTTAGATCTGACACAGAGGCAGAATAATGAGATCATTTATTAAGGGATCCATGTTGAATATTTTTAAATCTAATTAGAAAACAACATTTCTAGCAACAATAGGTGGGCTAGAGTTTGAAAATAATTTTCTATAGACCAAGAAATATAATGCACTGATTTAATAGGGACTTGCATCTGCAAAACATACAAAACAGATTCATGATAGTATTTCTAGGAAAACTGGTAGTTGGCCACAAGCCATCATAAGGGATTTGGGAGTCTTGCTATTTCAAATTGGCTATCCTACTTTCCCCCACATCTTCCAAATTCATTCTCACTGAGTATATATTAAAAGCTGACTTTTTCTTCCCCAAACATTTAGGGCTACACTTATATGACAATGCAGGGGGCTGGCGTTGTGGCATAGAGGGTAAAGCCACCGCCTGTGAAACTGGCATCCCATGTGGGTGCCAGTAAGTTTCATAGAACGTTATCTACTGTTATTATATGTGATACTCTGAGATTTGCAATGCTATTCTGTATTATTTTTAAAAATGCAGGGAGTGGCTCAGACAATGGCCAATAGGTTATGACCTGTAGTTATAAAATCACTGATTTGATCCAACCAATGAGGAAGCTTAAGTATGATGAAATCAAGTGGTTTAAGTTCGTAAGAGGAGTGGTGATCATTTGCATAATTCTGTACAGGTCAATAACTGGCCTCTAGAGTATGACTGTTGTATCTGTGTGTGTATATATATATATATATACACACACACACATATATATATATATTTATTTATTTTGTTTTTCTATCTTAGCCTGAGTTGTTGCTGCTTGATTTTTCTCCCCTTACTCTGCACTTCCTTCAATGGTTCATATCCTTTTCCCACATAGGCCTTTCAATTTGATACTGGTTATGGACTGGCTGTGGACAACATGTGTTTGAAATTACTGAGGCGCCAGCACCATGGTTCACTAGGCTAATTCTCCGCCTGCGGTGCCGGCACCGCAGGCTCTAGTCCCGGTCGGGGCGCCGGATTCTGTCTTGGTTGCTCCTCTTCCAGTCCAGCTTTCTGCTATGGCCCAGGAGTGTAGTGGAGGATGGCCCAAGTCCTTGGGCCCTGTACCCGCATGGGAGACCAGGAGGAAGCACCTGGACCTGGCTTCAGAATAGTGCAGAATGCTGGCCGCAATGTGCTGGCCATAGCGGCCACTTGGGGGGTGAACCAACGGAAAAAGGAAGGCCTTTCTCTCTGTCTCTCTCGAACTCTGCCTATCAAAAAAAAAAAAAAAAAGACAGAAAGAAATTACTGAACAAATTGGCAGCTTCCATCCACAAGCCTGATGAAGTGAGAATCTTAGAACAGTACTGCCACTAAACAGAAAAGCAGGTGAGAGCTACATGAACAGGCTAACTCTCAAAACATGTTACTAACAGATGAGAACAAACATCTAGTGGACCGATGTTTATTGAATATCTGTTCTGTGGCTGTCATTATAGCTCTTACATCACCTAATCACCTATTATTTTGAAATTATTTCCACTTTCAGACTGTAACCACCTTGAAGACAGAGTCCATAGTTCATCTTTCAATCTCCCATAGCATTTAGCACAGTATGTATTTTCAGATCAATAACTACTTGGTTATTAGAGATCAACAAATATTTGCAGAATGGACACGTCAAACATACCAAGGCACAAATAAAGAGCCCTTGGCTCTCATCCTTCTTCCTCATAGCACCATTATATCAAAGAAAGCATTATTACAAGTACTTGTTGCCTGTGAAACCACTCCCTTTCCCTTCCCAAACAAAAAATATCAGGCTATTCTTACCCCATGGTTATGTGAAATCAAGTCACACGTCCCCGAAAGGTGAGAGCAGAGCCGCTGAACTGGTGCCTGGGACGGTGGTGGCCGATCCAATATGCACACTTAGACAAGACCACCACGTGAGAGTAACATGTGCAGTGTCTCAAAAAAGACAAAATTACAGCATATCTCAAGATCTCAATTGATTTTACTTGTGATTCTAGAATTGAGCAACATTCATTCCCACAAAACAGAAGCAGTATTCTGACAGGCTCAGCACAGGTTAGTTTTATAGACACAAAAGGGATGAACAAAGCGGGAACCAAGAACAAAAAAGCAGATTGATCATTTCAAAGCTACTTTTCTTGGCAGGTGAGGACAGGTAAGACAGAATGGAAAAATATTGGTTAACATCAGATTGCTTCAGGCTCCTTTTTCTTGGGTAAGGATTAAAGCAGAGGAAGTTGATTGTCATTATCATTATGTAAACTGGCCCTTTGGTGGATATGTGGCGATTCTCTCTTCCAATTTCTCATTTCTCAGGGCAAGTACCAACTTAGTTTTGGTTTGATGACTTTACTATGCATGTTTCCAGTTTCATTTTCAGAATGGTCTACTGGGGCCTAGTGCAGGAACTTAGTCTAAAGCAATAGACTCGTGTAATTTTAACATATTTAATTATCAAATAAATATGGACTGAGAGGTTGTTTTAAGGCCAGGTACTGTGCTAAGTGCTTGGGCTACAGCGGTGGCAAAGAAGGAAATTGCCCTCATACAGCTTCTAGTCTACGAGACACACAGAGCAGCAATAACAAAGTGTGTCAGTGTGGGGATACCTAGGTGGGGCAGCCATGTTAGTTTTGGGAGGAGGCAATGGGGTAAGAGGAGGTTTTAAGAGGGCTTCTTAGAGGAGGAAGTAAACTGAGACCAGATGGAAGGGGGAATGCAAGATGAGTAAAGGTGGAAGAGGAAAAAAACCTAGGCAGAATGTGATGGTCAGCTCCGCCTTTGTTTTCAAAGATGCTTCTAGAAAGCTGATTCTATCACTCATAGAACCTTTATCTGCCCTTTGACAGACAACACCCAAGCCCTTCCCCAACCCATTAACAGGTTTTATATCGTCCGTCACAAAGCTGCCCCAGAGGATAAAGTTCTGAGAGATCAGTTTTCTTTACTATTTTCTGCTGAAATTGCTAAGCACATAGTTACACACTGGACCATGCATGTATAACAAAAACATTTTAGTGGTGGGGTGCGAATTTCCAATGTCTGCCTAAGACATCTAGTAGGATCTCTCACCAAGTAGCAATTCAAAAAATCTGTATCAATAAGACTCTAAATAAACATACCAGGGATTGGGGGTGGGGGGGACAAACAACCTATTCTTTTTTTAAAATTTTTTTTTTTATTTTTGACAGGCAGAGTGGACAGTGAGAGAGAGAGAGAGAGACAGAGAGAAAGGTCTTCCTTTTTCTGTTGGTTCACCCTCCAATGGCTGCTGCAGCCGGCGCAGTGCGGCCGGCGCACCGCGCAAATCCGAAGCCAGGAGCCAGGTGCTTCTCCTGGTCTCCCATGCAGATGCAGGGCCCAAGGACTTGGGCCATCCTCCACTGCACTCCCGGGCCACAGCAGAGAGCTGGCCTGGAAGAGGGGCAACCAGGACAGAATCCGGCGCCCCAACCGGGACTAGAACCCGGAGTGCTGGTGCCGCAGGTGGAGGATTAGCCTAGTGAGCTGCGGCGCAGGCCCACAACCTATTCTTTTAAGTAAACAATCTATAGCTATAAAAACAAATGCTGGCCCAAACATTATCTAAAGCTTGAAGCTTATAAATTTTTCCCAATTCTCCTTACATGACAAAATACAAAAAACAAAACCAAAAGAAACCAAAAATGGAGAGTTTGTTGGAAAAAAGTGAGGACATGAAGAAAAAGGCTGAGGCACTGACAATGTCAATTTAATGACCAAGTAAGTAAATTTATTTTCAGATGAGAGGCAGTCAATATTAATCTTATTTAGCCTCATCTCACTGTAATTAAAAACTGCAGTTCATCTTGACAGCTTTTCTATGGCACGGATGCTATTTTTCCTTAGCGAGGTCTGTCTTGTCCTCTGTCTGGGAGTCAGCTTGGACTTATCTCAGCTTCACATACAACTAAATGTTCTCAGTAGGAACAGCTTTAGTTATAGCTGAAAAGAGTTCCAGGAAACTCCATCAGGAGTTCCATTATTTACTCTACAGCAATAATGGCAGCTGGTGCATTTTTGGCCACGATACACACTTACCCCATTGAATATAACCAATGGGCTCTTCCCATGAGAGTACAAGTCAAATTCTTATTGAATTTTTTGACATTTTACCACAAATTAGGAATACTACTTTATACTTAAAATACTTTTAAAGAAAGACAGGTACTTCCCCAAATTTCAAATACAATTGCCAGGCAGACCATCCCAGTCAGCTTATGATACTAAGTATCTCTCACCTGAATCTCACATTGTTGGACAATACCCTTTCTCTCTGATCTTCCTACCCTCAGCTACCACCTAAAAAAAATTGGCTAGTTTGCAACAACCCACCCAAATACAGTTAATTCCAGATTCCAACTCCCATTTCCAGTGTTAACAGTATTCACAATACCTACTGCCTTAAACAATGGAACTTTCTGATATCAAAATTTCATCAAAGTTGAGATCTGCCTTGGCTAGAAAGTTCCAATTCCATTTTCAACTTCCAATTGATTAAATAGATAACAACTCTACTTTTCACTTTAGTGAATAAAATGAAATCATACCACGCTTCTGTTAGTCGGAGCAGGGCTGTGGGGTTGCTACAGCAACTGTTGTACACTGATTCACAGACCGCTCCCCCTCCCCCAGCTCCAGGAAAGAAATCTTTCGCTCCACCCTGAGGAGTCAAAGGCCATGGCAAGCAGGTGGGGTTTGCGCAGAGATACACTTTTAGTCCAGCAGCTGTGATGGGGCAACAAGACACCATTCTTTATTGTCTCTTGGTATTAAATGCCACCTCGACAAGCAAAACAGACTCCAAGCCAAGCTGCAGTGTGCACCATGGCAGGACTGTATTCTCACCCCTCCCATCTGAAGCCTGGGCTAGGAAACTAGCCAGAGCAGTTTCTCTCTAGGCACAGAGAAAAACAAAGACAAAAACACAAATAAATTTGGGGTTTTGCTTTTAGGCTTTAAACACATGCAAACTTGTGTTCTATACACATATATATAAGTGTGTGTGTGTGTGTGTGTGTGTGTGTGTGTGTATATATATTTTGTCACTCAGATTCAAAACACATTTACTGAGTTTTACTGAGTTAACCCTTCTGGCTGGGTGCCTTCGTGTATTGCTTCATTTACTCCTCACAACAACCCCACGAGGTAGGTATTAATAGAATCCCCACTTTACAGATGAGAAACTGAGGCTTCAAAAAAATATTTGACTTGACTTGTCCAAGCTACTACAGGATGGAGTCAGAACTGATATTTTTTTTTTTTTTAATTTGAAAGGTAGAGTTAGAAAGAGGGAGAGACACCCAGAGGGACAGAGAACTTCCATCTGCTGGTTCACTCCCCAAATGGCTGCACCAGCCAGGGCTGGGCCAGGCTGAAGCCAGGAGCCAGGAGCTTCATCCAAATCTCCCATTGCATGCAGGAGCCCAAGTACATGGGCCATCTCATGCTGCTTTCCCAAGTGCATTATCAGGGAGCTGGACTGGAAATGGAGCAGACAGAACTCCAACAGGGAGCCATAAGGGACGCTGGTGTTGCGGGCAGATGCTTTACCTGCTACGATGCAGCTACCACTAGGCTACAACGCCAGCCCCTGAACTCATCTCTTAACTTGAAGTCTTGTGTTTTTTTCTAATGTACTATACTTAATTTCATGAGAAAATTCTCACTTCTTAACTGAATTATTTTAGGAATCATTTTCACAAGTAATGCCTTTATTCATAAGCCAAATATATTTGCCACTTTTCTAGGTACATGGTACAGAAATGTAGGTACAGACATGTAGGGCTGCATTTTGGACTAGATGGGTTTTTGGCAAAGTTTAAAGTGTGGAAGTCATATCCTTGAGGAGGAGGGGAAAAGCAGAGAAAACAGGTAAGGTTATACAAGGAAATTCAGGCGAAAATGCCTGTGGAACGTCTTCAGGTCTGAGCTGCTAGTGAGCACAGCAGTGACAGAGAGCCAAGGGCACACATCCTGTTTAAGCCAGGGGAGAAACCTGATCTCTGCCATTAATGCCCTTCAAGGAGAATTTCAAGTCTCAGTCTGCCCATTTCCAGTCGCCTCCCACTTGCAGGTATGGAAAGGTCTCTTCCATGGCAGCTCTTCTCACCGTTAGCATGAATCTGGTTTTCCTGCCCAGCAGGTCCATAATTACCCACTTTCTCCTAACATACTTTCTGAGAATTTCCTAGGGAAACAGAAAGAAAGACTATCTTCAAAAAAACTGCTCTTCTTAGCATCCCGGGATCCAGACCTAAAAATTCTCTCACACCTGTAACTTGAACTTCATCTGCCTGTCCCACACTGCCTCCCACCCCACCCCACCTCCAACCGAGAATTCAGCCAACTTGGTAAATGGGCCCCTCCACCTCTGGCCCTCTGGGAGCTCTTGAACAGCTCTCCTGAACTCAGAGTTCCTCCCCTTCTATTACACCTGCTGTCTGTCCTCTATTTCTCCTTCAGCTGATGGGCTCCACCTCTCCAGTTGCCTGAGATTTGAGAGAGAAACCAAGGGTTCAAAAGGGCTGTGCTAGTTTCCAAAGGCTTCTGGAAAGATAGGTCAACATGTGTAAATTTATTATAAAGTATGCATTTACAAGGAAATCTATGACATCACTGATTTTAAAACATAAAAGTGTAACATACTGTCCTGAATTTTTGCTGGATGAGGTAATTAAATGCCCAATTTTCTTTCATTATAAAAAACACCACTTTTATGGGTCCTAAAAATTCACACTCTGTTTGTCCTCATGAATATATTATATACAATGCAAAGAATACAACTCATCAAAAATTATAAAGCAGTAAGATAAAATAAATCACTGGTGTTAAGAACATCTACATTTGTAAAAGAAAATGGGAATAGCAGAGAAAAATTTCTGCAGTTGAGTTACTGACTTCTAAAAACTACACAGTAAGTTCTTGTCTGTAACTGTATAAAACCTGGATCAAAGGCATCTTCAGCAAAACTGAAGAACTATTAAGCTGTTCCTTCTCCAAGGAAGGAAAACATTTCACAGCTTTAAAGCAAGCATCAGGAAAGCTAAAAGACCTTTATGTTCACTGAACAGTGGTTCTGAAAGTTATAAGCCTACTATGCGAAAACGTGGACTAGTACTTATCCCTCAGATTTAACAGAACTTTGAATATTGTTAATCCAGGACAATTTCATAGACTTCAGTTTAATATATCTGCAAGGTGAACAATGTTTCTACAACATGATGAGGTTACAGATATTACTCAAAAAGAAAAACAAAAAACCAATCATTTATCATTTGGGACTCTTAGGTGACTGGGCATTAATTTTAAAACACTACAACTTCAGGCCTTATAGAAGCTAGAAACATAATTCAAAACTTCACAAAGGTATTATTAAATTAAAACCACTCTAGACAATTCAAGGTCTCATTGACAAAGTTCATTTAAGGTGATAGCCTTGCTATTGTGTTACTGTTCCCACATGATATCATCTTTCCTCAATTTCACTTTAAGATTTTGAACTCGTACTGGATGAAAGCTGTTGTTTTTCTGAAAAGAGTTAGTCTCATTCAAACATTTTCTGGGGCTATTTTTTCTGTTCTTTGATCCGTTAGATTGGCTATCTTCTTGCTGAACGCCTGGAGCTGTTCTCATCTTTGGGTTTTGAACTTTTTGCTGCAGCTTACGGACCTGGAGAGAAAAAAAAATCTAATTTTAGTCAGAAATACACTAAAAAGTGTACTCTTAAATAGACAGATTGGATTGAAAGTTTACCAATTATCTTAAATTTTAAGTTCAATTCAGTGAGTTTTTATTTATGGAACACCTATCACACACCTAACACTGCGCTAGTCAGGTAGAAACAAAATGAATCAAATAGTCCCTGCTTTCAAGGAGCTTGGTATTATTATTAGGAAAAAAAAAAAGTATGCGACTTCAGTTGGATTAATTTTGAGTAGGGCAAAGGTGTATTATTTGAGAAGGCCAAAGTAGGACAAGATCCACAAAGGCTGGGGAAGTTGAAGGAAGGGTTGTGACATGAAACTGTAAAAGCCACAGGAGAGGATTTTCCAGGTGACACTAACAGCAAAGTGAATGAGCAGAATCTATACAGTAAAAAATGTATACATATGTATGAGGGGGCTGCAAACAGGTCATAGACATGCACATTATCTTCTAATTCATTTTTTCACAAACTTTTTGAAGGTGTCTCCCACACACCCATGAGGATCCTTCCAAAACTTTGTTGGAAAATATAATTAAAAGGTAAGTTTATTTATTTTTTAAGATTTATTCATTTATTTGAAAGGCAGAGTTACAGAGAGGCAGAGACAGAGAGTGAGAGAAAGAGATAGAGAGGTCTTCCATCTGCTGGTTTACTCCTCATATGGCTGAAACTGCTGGAGCTGGGCCAATCCGAAGCCAGGAGCCAGGAGCTTCTTCCAGGTCTCCCACGTAGGTGCAGGGGCCCAAGGACTTGGGCCATCTTTTACTGCTTTCCCAGGCCATAGCAGACAGCTGGATAGGAAGTGGAGCAGCCAAGACTTGAACTGGTGCCCAAATGGGATGCCAGCACTGCAGGCTGTGGCTTTATCTGCTATGCCACAGCACTGGCCTCAAGGTAAGTTAATTTGGTATTAAAATTTTTGATATCCAAGCATTGGTTTTTTTTTCATAATAAGCATTTTCTGTGAACTTTCTGAAGTACCTATATATATATATTTTAAAGTATTTTATTTATATAAAAATTATATACATATTATTACATATATATTTATATTTATATAAAGTATATATATATATATATATATGTAAAGTATTTCTGGGGTGTGTGTTTAGCTAAGCAGTTAAGATGCTTGTTAAGATGTCACTTAAGATATCTGGGGGCCTGTGCTGTGGCATAGTGGGTTAAAGCCTCCGCATCCCCCATGGATGCCAGTTCTAATCCCAGTTCCTCTACTTCTGATCCAGCTCCTTGCTAATGTACCTGAGAAAGCAGTGGAATATGGCCCCAGTCCTTGGGCCCCAGCATCCACGTGGGAGACCCAGAAGAAGCTCCTGGCTCCTGGCTTCAGATTGGCTCAGCTCTGGCTGTTGTAACTATTTGGGGAGTGAATCAGCAGATGGAAGACCTCTCTCTCTCTGCAACTCTTTCAAATAAACAAAATAAATCTTTAAAAAAAAAATGTCTGCACCTGGGTTCAATACCTAGCTCTGGTTCCTGATTCCAGCTTCCTGGGAGACAGAGGTGATGGCTCAAGTAATTGGGTCTCTGCCACCCATGTGGGGAGCCTGCATTGCCTTCCTAGCTCTTGCATTCAGCTTAGCACAGCCCTGGCTATTGCAGTCATTTAGGAGGTCTCTGCCTCTCAAATTAAAAAATAATAATGATAATAATAATCATCATCATCATAAAAATATCTCTGAATTAAACAATTAAGTACTACTGAATGTCAGTTTAAAAAAATCAAAGGAATAACTATTGCCATCAGGAATGTCTGGTAAAAGTGGGGTAGATAGAATTAAACAAATAATATCTATCAACTAGCTGAATTTCTTCAAAGGCGAACCTATTCCATAGTCTGTTTTCACTTACACATGGCTCTAATTGGTACAGCTAGCCTAGACACTGAGTGCGGGGTTGTCTATTTGCCTATGAGGCTATTTTTATTACAAATATGAAATGTATCATAATAAAATGTCTGCATATTGCTATAGTCATTATGGAATATAAATCATGTCCTTCAAAATATAGTCTGTATGAACTAACTTGTTAAAGTTTTTATTTTTCCATTTCTTTCAAGTTTCCCCTATGTAATTCCAAGAAAGTGCAGAAGTTGTACAATCTTTATTCCAATACATCCATACAAAACTTTGTACTTATAGCCTTAAAAGCTAGCAAAATGAAAATGTTTGCTTCAAAAGTAGGCCATAAGAAGAATAAAGGCAGCTATGTTCTGCATTGTTTAATACTTTCCTACAAGAGGCAGGGGAGGCTTACTCATATCTGTGAGGTTAACACATTGCAGACTTTTATGAAAGATGATTAGATCCACAGCAGGGAGCTATCTGATGTGACCTGATGGCTCCTGGAAAGGATCCCTCTGCCTTCTGCTCCCGTGCTGTAGGAGTGCTCGAAGTTCAACCTATGGAGTCACTGTCATGGAATAAAATATTATATTCTAGGGTTCTTTTTTCAAATATTAAAGCTGTTATGCCAGTCATAGCTATTAAGACTTTACATCCAAATTCAGAGTTCTCTCCAACGCCATCCTACTCATTATAGCTAGCTGACTGCAGGTCCCCAAAGCAAAAAACAGCACAGCTTGCTTTGGGAAAGGTTGACATTGAGTTTAGGAATAGGGTACTCCTGAGAAGCCAGGCTTATGGGTGGTAGGAAATTAAAAATCTGTTAACACAAAGGGGCATCATTAAGGCATGGGAGGAGAAAAGGGGAACAGGAGAAAAGAGTAACCAGAGGGCTGCTCAGTCAAATTTCTCCTCCTCACAATTTTCCCAGAGCTGTTTCTGAACACATAATTTACTTTTCCTACTCCTTTTTCTCTACATTATCATGGAGAGTCAGGTAGGAAACCCATGTTATTCCAATGGGATGGCTAGCTGTACTGTATATAACAGGCCTAAGTGATTCCTATCTGTCTATCTTGTCACAAAACCACATATAAGAACCTCATATTTGGAAGGTCACATGGAGATGTAACATTGACACCAGTTATGTTATCTTTTCATTGCAATTTTTTACTAAGGCTTTCTTACACTGTCTTGATGCTTCTTCAGTTTGGAAATCTGTTCTCTTTTAATTTCCATCTTCTTGACTAAATGTTCTAGTTCACATTCTATGTCACCATAGACTGAATGGCTTGCAGTGTCCTTCATTTCTTTCAGTAGTTCTTGGTGCTCCCTAGAAAAAGCAAATTTAAAACAATTCAGTTGTAGCATAAGTTTCACTGAGAGTTAAATAATAATCTTAAGCCCTTGTAATCTGAGATTAGATACATTTAGATTTTGACTTAGATGGCCAAATAACCTTAAAAAAATCTGAGTTCTCGAGGCTCCCGGCAACACGTAGTAAAATGTTCTGGTGTCCTTGGATGGAGGCATTAAAGGGCTCTTCAGTTCCAACTCTGGAATTACTGCTGAAGGATTTGGCCTTGTCAATGAAATACTGTTCACAGAACTAGTTATAGCTTCTACAGAGGTCTCAGTTCAAGTAGTGAGCCAGCCAAATCACATGGTTCTGGATATACATTTAAACATGGGGCATGATCTAACGTAGCCTATACAGAATCTTCCTTACTATGGATGCTGCAAAATGTGTAACGCAGATCAGCCAGGCCTAAGACGAGGCATTACATTCTACTTGTTTAATGAAATCATTCATTTAACTACAAAATTCTAAAAATAAATTGAGAGCTTTTCTTTTAAAAGCTTTGTGAATTGTAATCTAAGGTCACCATACCATAGATGTTAGAATGATAATAATAATATCTGTCAGTCCAGATCTTGAGAATACAGAAACTCTGTAGAATGGAAAAGCAGCAATTATGCACACTTGAAAACTTAGTATCAATAAACACAATGAAAAATCAGTGATAATAAATTTGCAGACCAAAAAAAAAATAAATACAAATAATGAAGTCAGGCCTTTCAGAATTTGTAAGTGGCATCTAAATCACTTACTGGTTCTCCTGACAGAGAATAAAAATACTTACACACTCATTTGGTCCAGCTCATCTTGCATTGCCATCAAAAGTTCAGACAAATTGTCACAAAAGGAATCAGACTTTTCTGAGTTAGAAGGGACAGCTTTACACCATGAGGTTTTTCTAGTAGGCCTGCACAAACACCTATGCTCAGTGACTTCAGAAGGTTTCTGTAGGATCCGTGGCCCAGACCGTCGCGCTGTTTGCAGAAGGTTTTGCATACTTGCATTCACAGAACTGCCTGCACTGGCAGACTTAAGGGAAAAAGAAATAGCTGAGAATTTTAAATGAATGGTGCTATTTAAATAGTACTTACAATAAAGCAGGCATTTTTTTGAACAATTATCTTCATGTTTTCCTCTTACCCTTTCAGTCTCAAAAGGCAGTGCTCCACACTTTGAATAAACTGGCTGAGGTGGCCCTCTCTTCAAACATTTATTTGTCTAAAGATTGACAGGGGAAAAAGTAAACAAAATTATTTTAAAAGATATTTATGATACGACAAACTCTCAAAACTCAACAGTCAACAAACTGTGCAATTTGAAAATGGGCAAAAGAAATGCAAACATTTCACTGAAGACGACACAGAGGTGGAAAAATGAACACGAAAAGATATCTTTTAGGGAAAAACATGTTAAATCACAATGCAGAGGTGGGGTACTGTAGCACAGTGGTTTAAGCTGCTGATTGGAATGCCTGCTTCTATTTTTGGAGTGCTGATTGAGTCCTGGCTCCTCCAATTCTGAGGCAGCTCCCTGCCAATGCAGCTTGGGAGGCTGTAGATGATGGATCAAGTGCTTGGTTCCTGCCACCCTGTATGGGAGACCCAGATAGAGTTCTGAACTCTGGCTTCAGCCCTGAAGACCCTGGCTGTTGTGGGCATTTGGTGAACAACTGGATGGAAGATCTCTCTGTCTGTCTGTCTCTGTCTCTCTTTCTGTCTCTCTCTCTCTCTCTCTCCCCACACCCCTCTTTCCCTCTCAGTCTTTCTAGTAGATGAAAATAAACTTCAAAAACATCTAATGTAATATCACTGCATAACTATGAGAAGACCCAAAACAGAAAACAGTGATGACACCAAGTGTTGGTAAGGATGCAGACAACCTGGATCACTCATACACTGTCGCTGGGAACACAAGATGGTACAGCATTGGAAGAGTTCTGGAGGACAGTTTGGCAGTTTCTTATAAAACTAAACATTTCCTTATCACATGACCCAACAACTAACTGTACCTTTGGCCATTTATCCCAAAGAAATGAAAACTTAGTTAACACAAAAATCCATATAAAATTTCACAGCAGTTTTGTCTGTAAGAACCAGAAAGGTAAATGGTAAAATCTGTAACATGGACTACCATGAAGAAATAAAAGGAATATACAGATACATGTAACAACTTGGATGTTCTCATGGGAAAAAAGCCAAGCCTAAAAGCTTATATACTGTATAATTGCATTTATCTAACATTTTTGAAATAACAAAATGATAGAGGTGGTGAACAGATTAGTGACTGCCAGGGTCAGGAAGGGGGACATGTTGTATACAGGGATTGTATAAAGGAACCTTACAGCAGTGGGAGAGTTTTGTATCTTGATTGTTATAATGGTTACATGAATCAACATGTGATAAAACTCTAAAAGTCTCACTGTTATTAGTTACCATCTAGAAGCACAGCTCTGATCCTGTGTCTACTCATCTCAGAAACCTTCAATAGTTCCCAACTACATACAGAATAAAAGTTCAGTTTTTTAACATGGCACTGAAGGGCTGCCACAGTCTCACTCTAAGTCATGTTTTCTTTCATTCATTCAGTTGAAAGGCACACAAAAGTTGGGGGTAGGGACAGACCTTCTAACTGCTGGTTCACTTTCCAAATGCACTTAACAACCACGAGCCAGGAACTCAATCTAGGTCTCCTGCATGGGTAACAGGGACCCAAGTATTTGAGCTATCACCTGGTGCCTCCTAGGGTCCACATTAGTAGGAAGCTGGAGTCAAAAGTTGAGTTAGCATTCTAACAGGGGATGCAGGCATCCCAAGTGGCATCTTAACCACTATGGCAAATGCTCACCTCTACATTTTCAACTTTAACTCTTACTATGATCCCACTACTGTACTTTCACGTCTGGGTCTCTGGAAAAACCAACAGTTTCCTCAGGTTTTACAGGTTGAGAACCTTTATCCAAAATGCTGGGGACCTGGAGCTGGTGCTTTGGCATTCCATATGCAATCCGATTAGAGTCCCAGCTGCTTCACTATTGATCCAGCTCTCTGCTGTGGCCTGGGAAAGCACTAGTGGGTGGCCCAAGTTCTTGGGCCCCTGCACCCATGTGGGAAACCTGGAAGAAGCTCATCAATCCCAGTTTTGGATTGGTGCAGGTCCAGCTGTTACAGCCATCTGGGGAGTTAAACCAGTGGATGGAAGATCTCTCTCTCTCTCTCTAACTCTTTCAAATAAATAAATAAATTTTTGAAAAAAATGTTTTAAAAATGCTGAGGACCAAATGTTTCGCATTTCAGAATTTTTTTCAGAATATACATACTTTTAAAAATGTTTTTTATTTTAAAAATGATGTATTTATTTATTTGAAAGGCAGAGTTACAAAGAGGCAAAGAGAGAAAGCAACAGAGAGAGAGAGAGAGAGAGAGATCGTGAGAGAGCGAGAGAGAGAGAGAGGTCTTCCATCTGCTGGTCCATTCCCCAGATGACTGCAACATATGGGATGCCCATATGGGACACCGGCATTGCAGGTGGCTGCTTTTTACCTGCTACGCCATAGTGCCAGTCCTGGAATATACATACTTGAATACATACATAAGGTATCTTGGCGATGAGACTCAAGTTAAACGCAGGATTTGTTTCATATATATCTCATCTACACAGCCTGAAGGTAAGTTTTATACAGTGCTTTTAGTGCACCTGCATTTTGACTGTGACCTGTCACATGAGGGATTTTCCAGTTAGGGCATGTCAGTACTCAAAGTTCTGGACTTGGGAGCATTGTGGATCTGGGATTATCAGATCAGAGAAGTTCACCTTGTACTGCATTTCCCATTATCTCACTCCATCAATCCCTTTTATTCTCCAAGGCTGACTTCAATGCTGCTTCTTTCATCACCCTTAACATATTCCTTAATCTATAAAATACTGCCACTTTAAATTTCATTATATTTTGTCTTATATTTGTATATTTATTTTTTATAAATTCCAGAATTATTTAGATCATCTAGAGATACCAGTGTAAGTACATTTGGATGTATGAATAGGAATGGGCGGTTGGCTTTGTAGATAAGATGCCAGTGTCCCACACCTGAGTGTTGAGGTTTGAGACTGACTCTGCTTCTGATTTCAGCTTCCTGCCAATGCACACTCTGGAAGGTAGCAGATGATGATTCAAATACTTGGGTCTCTGCTACCCACATGGGAGACCTGGGCTGAGCTCCCAATTTCCAGCTTTGGCCTAGCTCAGCCTTTAAGAATCTGGATAGTGAACCTGCAGATGGGAGCTCTCCCTGACTCTCTCTGTCTCTCAAATAAATTTAAAAGAGAGAGAGAGAGAGAGAGAGAGAGAGAGAGATGCATGAGTTGAATGAATTACGTCCAGAATAAGGAGAAACAAAGAAGTCTCTCATAGAGGCTACTTAAAATCTGATCCCATGCTGAAAGTGTTCATTCCATCTTCTTTTCTTTTTTTAAAAAATATTTATTTATTTATTTGAAATTCAGAGTTAGAGAGAGAGAGAGAGAGAGAGAGAGAGAGAGAGAGAGGTCTCCCATCCGCTGGTTCACTCGCCAGATGGCCGCAATGGCCGGAGCTGCGCCAATGTGATGTCAGGAGCCAGGAGCTTCTTCCCAGTCTCCTACGCAGGTTGCAGGGACCCAAGGACTTGGGCCACCTTCCACTGCTTTCCCAGGCAACAGCAGAGAGCTGGATTGGAAGTGGAGCAGCTGGGACTCAAATTGGCACCCACATGGGATGCAGGCACTGCAGGCAGTGGCTTTACCCGCTCTGCCACAGCATTGGCCCCTTTCTTTCATTTTTTTAAAAAAAATATTTATTTATTTATTTGAAAGAGTTACAGAGAAAGGAAAAGCTCTTTTTATCTGCTGGTTCACTCCCTAGATGGCTGTAACTGCCAGTCCTGGGGCAGGCTGAATCTAGGAGCCAGGCATTTCATCTGGGTCTCCCAAGTGAGTGGGAGGGGCCCAAGCATTTGGGTCATCTTCTCCTGCTTTTACCAGTTCATTAGCAGGTAGCTGGATCAGAAGTGGAGCAGCCAGAACATGAACCGGCGCCCATATAGGATGCTGGCATCGCAGGCAGTGGTTTTACCCATTGTGCCACCACGCTGACCCCGCTCCTTCCTTCTTTAAAGGGAGACATTATTATTTGCAGACTTGGGATTTGAATTAAGTACTTTTATAAAGGGATTTTTTTGTTTAATTACTCTCTTCTCTTTCAGGAGCTACTTTTTATTTCCTTTATTTCTTTAATCTTCCTCTTGTACCCTAGTTAATTTTTACAACAAATAGGTAAATTTTAAAAAAATTCCACTAATTCATCAAAGAATGCCATAAAAATACATACATACATACATAAATAACATCAAACTCAGTATTGGTTCCACTTAAAAATTACTTTGCAAGTACTATTTGACTTTGCAGCTTTGAATCTCATTGCACAAAAAACAACATTTAGGGAAGAAAATAAGATATATATGTGTATCTGTATATATTTAAAGTTGCACTGGGAAAATGTTTTTTCATGATCATACTTACAAAGTGCTTTAAAATAAAAAAGTATGAGAAATATAGCCCCCTCTTTTTAAAAAAGATTTATTTATTAATTTATTTTAAAGACAGAGTGGCAGAGAAAGAGAGAGAAATCTTCCGTCTGCTGGTGTACTCCCCAATGGGCCACAACAACCAAGGCTGGGCCAGGCTGAAGCCAGGAACTACATTCAGATCTCCAACATGGATGGAAAGCACCCAAGTACTTGGGCCATCATCTGTGCAAAGCTGGATGGGAAGCATAAAATAGCTGGACTTGAACCAGCACTCCCAAATCAGATGTTGGCATTCCAAGCAGCAACTTAAGCCACTGTACCACAAAGTGCACCCTACTCACAGTGCTAAATAAGTAATAAGCAATTCTTCTTCTTTTTTTTTTTTTTTTGGTTTAAAGGCTCACCCAAAAGTGACTTTTTTTTAAAACTTTTATTTAATAAATATAAATTTCCAAAGTACAGCTTATGGATTAAAATGGCTCCCCCCACCATAACTTCCCTCCCACCCACAACCCTCCCATCTCCCGATCCCTCTCCCATTCCATTCGCATCAAGATTAGCAATTCTTATTTATGTAGTAAAAGAGTAGCCACAGTTAAGTATAATGTTCTCTCTAATATTATATTCACTAGATAATTATACAGCAGTGGCAAAATATCTCAAATAACATCCCTAACTTCCATAGCAACTGCACACAGAAATACTCACTTCCTGCCTATTGAATAAATAGTAATAATGGTCATCAAAATATAATTCCAGAATTATAAGACTACACGGGATTAAGATATTTTCCTACCACTAAATATAATTAAGAAGGTTTATTTAATACAACATTTGAGGATACTCCAAAAAGTTTATGAAAAATGGAATTTAAAAAATAATGGTGAAAACATTTTGGAAATCTATGCATTTCCCATGAGATTTTGATGATCTTCATATGTATGGGCATCAAAATTTTTTGCGCTAAAATAAACATTTTAATTCTATTTTCCATGAACTTTTAGTAGATTCTGTCATATCTAAAACAAAGCACTGGGCAATTTATAAAGTAGTAACGCTCCACTATTTTTACATAAATTCAAAGGACGTGAGACTAGAAAGAATAAATAATAAATTCTCTACATGAATGGCTTCACACGCCTAGAACTTCATAGGACTGTAAAAAAACAACATCCTGTTTTATTGTGTATGTGTTACATAAGACAGCTTTCAAGATCTACTGTGTTGGCAGCATCCATTGTGCTTAGCGCTTTTTAAATATCACAAAATATATTCTTTAAGAGTCTGAAACTAGGGAAATGTTTGTTTTTCTAGAACAACTGGAATGCTTCCTGATAGGTCACAGAGACAGCTCTTCCACCCACTCTATGATCTTTTTTGCTTTGGTTATCAAGCAAACTAGGGGCTAAGTTTTGTCTATGACCACTGTTACTCTCTTTAATCTAGGCACTAGGAAATTTTCTGTCTTTACACCCCAAATCATAATGGCTTCCATCATTTCACAGCATTATTTACTATTATATTATATTATTTACTATTATAATATTTACTATTATAAATTTCTTCAGATCCTTTCTGGAAATGGGTAGTAATACACATTAAAAGGGTAAGTAATTATGAATTAGCAAATAGGAAAATTTTGTTTGGGAAAAAGGTTTATATGCATACCTTTTTTTTTTTAACTTTCATTTAATGAATATAAATTTCCAAAGTACAGCTTATGAATTACAATGGCTTCCCCCCGATAACGTCCCTCCCACCCGCAACCCTCCCCTTTCCCACTCCCTCTCCCCTTCCATTCACATCAAGATTCATTTTCGATTCTCTTTATATACAGAAGATCAGTTTAGCATACATTAAGTAAAGATTTCAACAGTTTGCACCCCCATAGAAACACAAAGTGAAATATACTGTTTGAGTACTCGTTATAGCATTAAGTCTCAATGTACAGCACATTAAGGACAGTGATCCTACATGAGGAGTAAGTGCACAGTGACTCCTGTTGTTGACTTTACAAATTGACACTCCTGTTTATGGCATCAGTAATCTCCCTATGCTCCAGTCATGAGTTTCCAAGGCTATGGAAGCCTTTTGAGTTCTCCAACTCTTATTTTGTTTAGATAAGGTCATAGTCAAAGTGGAGGTTCTCTCCTCCCTTCAGAGAAAGGTACCTCCTTCTTTGAAGGAGGTTCTTTCCACTGAGATCTCACTCACAGAGATCTTTCATTTAGGTGTTTTTTTTTTGTTTTGTTTTTTGTGCCAGAGTGTCTTGGCTTTCCATGCTTGAAATAGTCTCACGGGCTTTTCAGCCCGATCAGAATGCCTTTAGGGCTGATTCCGAGGCCAGAGTGCTGTTTAGGACATCCGCCATTCTATGAGTCTGCTGAGTATCTCGCTTCCCATGTTGGATCACTCTCCCCTTTATTTATTCTATTGGTTAGTATTAGCAGGTACTAGACTTGTTTATGTGCTCCATTTGACTCTTAGTCCTTTCATTATGATCAATTGTGAACTGAAATTGATCACCTGGACTAGTGAGATGGCATTGGTACATGCCACCTTGATGGGATTGAATTGGAGTCCCTTGGTATGTTTCTAACTCTACCATTTGGGGCAAGTCAGCTTGAGCATGTCCCAAATTGTACATCTCTTCCCTCTCTTATTCCCACTCTTATATATGCATACCTTTGATTTCTTCTTTTCCTTGCAGATTTTTGAATTAGAAACTGAAGACATTAAAATTTTACTGATTTCAAGTCCAGTTTGAAGCTATAATATCGAAGAAAAAACTTAAGAAGCTGATTTCTAACAAGCTTCCTCAAAACACTTTAATGAATCAAGTCTCAGTTTATAAATAGAGAAATGTTTTTTGAGGAAGGAAAAAAACCCACAAATAGGATTTTGTGTGTGTGAAGGTCATGAAGTCTATGGGTAATTATAATCATTTGTTATTATAAGAGAATAAATTCTTTAAGTACATGCATAAATCTACCAAGGTGAAAACAATTTATTCTAGTAGTTCTTTCAATTAAAAATATATGGATTTGTCAGAATTTCAAAAGACTGCAAGATTTCTTGGCAGTGCATCCAAAGATACGCTAATATATTGGCTGACTCAGAATTTTATCATTATAGCAAAGAGTGACAAAACTGACAACCTAGGAGGCAGCAGTTAGATTCTAGATTATAGGCTTCAGTTAATGAGAACAAAGTCGAATAAAACACACAGTTTACTGTGATAGATCACACAGTGTCTAACTACCTCAGAAGCTTTGTCTTGAAACAGCTTTCGATGATGTTCTTCTTCCTTAAGTTTTTCCTCTAACTGTTTTATCTTGTCCTGAAAAAGTTTAAAAAAAAAAGGGGGGAGAGTATTAACATAAAAACTAGAGCCAAATATGCCTTGTTCCTTTTCCAAACAGAAACATCTTAGTTCTTTTTTTCTTTTTAAAGATTTATTTTTATGGGGCTGGCACTGTGGCATAGCGGGTAAAGCCACCTCCTGCAGTGCCAGCATCCCACATGGGCGCCAGTTCAAGTCCCAGCTGCTCCACTTCCGATCCAGCTCTCTGCTATGACCTGGGAAAGCAGTAGAAGATGACTCAAGTCCTTGGGCCCCGCACCCATGTGGGAGACCTGGAGGAAGCTCTTGGCTTCGGATTGGCACAGCTCCGGCCGTTGCAGCCAATTGGGGAGTGAACCAGCAGATGGAAGACCTCTCTCTCTCTCTCTGCCTCTCCTTTTCTGTGTAACTATGACTTTCAAATAAATAAATAAATCTTTAAAAACTTTATTTTTATTTAACTGAAAGGTAAAATTAGAGGGGGAGAATAGAGACAGAGAGAGAGGTCTTCCTTCCCCTCAAATGGCTGCAACCACCAGAGCTGGGCTGATCTGAAGCCAGGAGCTTCCTCTGGGTCTCTCACATGGATACAGGGGCCCAAACACTTGGGCTATTTTCTGCTGCTTTCCCAAGCCATCAGCAGAGAGCTGGATTGAAAGAGGAGCAGCCAGGACATGAACCAGTGCCAAAATGGGATGCTGGTGTTGCCTACTACGCCACTGCACCAGCCTCCGGGTCTTGATTCTTTCTTTCTTTTTTATTTATTTGAAAGCCAGAGTTACATAGCGAGAGGAGAGACAGAGAGAGAGGGAGAGAGAGTTCTTCCATCTGCTGGCCTACTCCCTAGTTGGTCGCAATGGCTGAAACTGGGCTGATCTGAAGCCAGGAGCTAGGCGCTTCTTCCGGATCTCCCACATGGGTGCAAGGGCCCAAGGTCTTGGGCTATCTTCTACTGCCCTCCCAGGCCATAGCAAAGAGCTGGATTGGAAGTGGAGCAGCTGAGACTTGAACTGGCGCCCATATGGAATGCCGGCACTGCAGGTAGCAGCTTTATCCACTATGCCACAGTGCCAGTCCCATTGGATCTTGATTCTTAAGAGTTTACAAGTTAAGCAAAAATTAAGAAAAAGGAATGGCAAAAGGTGCTAGTATTCTTCTTGGCTTTCTTTCTATGCTTTCCCCGCTATTACATAAAGGAAACAAAGGGAAAGCACAAAAACAGACACACACGTAAGAGTTATTAACCTGCGGCAACAAAGCCATAGTGATGCCACTGCTGAGGTCTAAGAGGTTCAACAGTGAATAGCTTGAGTCTCAATGTTTTATTCAAATCAGGGAACAATAATCCGTGTCCACCTTGCATATGTGAAAAGGGGATAGTTGTTGGGGAAGAGAAGAGCAGGAAGACATTTGAGAAATATAAGATATGGCCTTTGTTACTTAAAAGGTTATACTGTACATAGGGAAACATGAGTAACTTAGATGAAACAGTAAGACAAAAAGCAATGGACATGATTTGATGCCATATGACCTTATATCCATAAGTATTACATCTTAGAGTAGAAGGACTGTACTGTTCCAGAGGGAGCACTCAAGGAAGGCTTCATTAGAGAAAAATCCTATGAAACGGAAAGAGTATGGAGGTAAAGGGCTAGGGAGAACACCTAGGACAGGCTTAACTTGATTGCAAGTAGTGAAAGGCAATCTTTTCAACATCCTTTAGGTATGAGCATGTCCTGCCATCTTAGAAGTCAAAATCCCATTTTCACATCAAAAGACAAGTTCATTCATGCTATGATTGGCATTACCTCTTCCTCTCTATAGGCAGGCATTCACATCTGGATTGTTGCAAATGAAGCCTTATAAAGCTAAGATTTGCTGTACATTCACATACAATGCCAATTATGCTGAACACTAAATATATATTCCTGGCATCAACACTTCAAAGAAACAAGGGGCAGCTTACCTCGGCAGTTTTCTGAGTTGCTGTAAGTCTAAGACATTCTTTTTCTAAGACATCAAGCTTTTCAAGTTTAGCATGCAGCTTCATCTGATCTTGCTCTTTTTCTCTTTGAAGTAGGGCCTAGAAAGGATAAAAACAAAACCTGGATTTGGCAAAGGATGCCAGTGGATCAAGAATAACACAATTTCTGGGAATTCAAAGCACAATTTCAGTCTTTCGCAAGAAACGCGTACACACATGTACATACTTTAAGTGCATATAGGCAAAAAACAAGACTTAAATCAAATACTTTAAGGTAACAAATACAATGTGCCAAAAAAGGATAGCTATCTTAGTATCAGTGAAACAAATTTTTCTACACATCTTTATACAACAATTCTACTGAAGGAATATACCATTGGCAAAATCTGTGTTAAATAAAAAAAAAACTTTACAAAGTGATCAAACTCATTGACTTTCTCTCTAATAACAAGAAAAACATGCATCTGAGACATGAAGCATAGAGAACAAAGAAAAAAGTTACACACACATATGCATATCTAAATACTGTGATATAATGATATCACATTAATGGAAGATATTAATAATGGGGGTAACTAATAGGGGACAAAGAAAAACTCTCTGTACTATTTACTCAATTATCTATAAATCTTAGATGGCTCTAAGAAAACCAAGTCTATTAATTAAAATAAACAAAACAAAAAACTCACTAATAAACACAGTCTTGGTGACTCAGAGAAGGAGAGAAGTAGGTGGGAGAGAATAATTATTTGAAGTGTAATTATTAAAAATATTTCAAATTTAATGAAAAATACTATCAAAAAGAATCTCAACTAGCCCGAACAGAATAAATACTAAGAAAGCCACACTTAGGCACATCATTATCATACTGTTGATAAACAGTGTTGGGGCCGGCGCTGTGCTGTAGGGAGCTAAGCCTCCGTCTGCACTGCTAGCATCCCATATGGGCACCAGTCCCAGTCCCAGCTGCTCCTCTTCCGATCCAATTGAAACAAAACAACTAAAACAAAATTTTTAATATGCTGAAAGGAAAAAAACCCCTCTCAATATAGAATTCTATATCCAGAAAAAACCTCTCTCACAAATGATGGCGAAAGAGTCTTTTCCAGATAAACAGATGCTAAGAGAATTCTCAGCATTCACAGATGTCCTTCAGACTGAAAGAAAATGATCCCAGACTGAAAATCATATCTACACAAAGTCTCATATATTTTCTGTTTCTTGATTTTCTTTAAAGGATAATTAATCATTAAAAGCAACAATAATAATGTGGGTTTTATAACATATTTAGTACAAATTGTAGCACAGAGAGATTTAAGTGGACTCATACTGTAGTAAGGGTCTTGCATTACACAGGGTAAGCATCCTTAATCCAAAAATATGAAATCCAAAAACTTTTGAATTCAAAGCATTTCAGATTTCTGGATTAGGGAATTACAAACAGTAAAGCCTATGCAAATATTTCAAAATCCAAGAAATTCCAAAATGTGAAATACTTTCCATCCCACGTGTTTCAGATAAGGGATGTTCAACCTTACATGCAAAGTATTTTAATACTAATTCATGACAGCCTGTGGCAAGTTCAGAATCCATATTTTAGCATCCGCAGCAGTAATTAAAAAGGAGAGGGAAGATAACAAAAGTTTTAACAAAATTTCCAAGGATGTTAGATAATATTTTGAACTGAATGATAATGAAAATATGAAGTAGCAAAATTTGTGGGATGTAGGTGAAATAATGTTTAGGAGGGAATTTATAATTTTTAAAAAGATTTATTTATCTTCTGTGTATCCCGCTTCCCATGTTGGATCGTTCTCTCCCTTTTTTATTCTATCAGTTAGTATTAGCAGACACTAGTCTTGTTTGTGTGATCCCTTTGACTCTTAGACCTATCAATGTGATCAATTGTGAACTGAAATTGATCACCTGGACTAGTGAGATGGCATTGGTACATGCAACCTTGATGGGATTGAATTGCAATCCCCTGGCACGTTTCTAACTCCACCATTTGAGGCAAGTCCAATTGAGCATGTACCAAATTGTACATCTCCTCCCTCTCTTATTCCCACTCTTATATTTAACAGGGAACACTTTTCAGTTAAACACCTAAGAATAATTGTGTGTTAATTACAGAGTTCAACCAATAGTATTAACTAGAAAAAAAAATACTAAAAGGGATAAAGTAGCAGACTCATAGAATGGCAGATGTCCTAAAGTGCACTCTGGCCTCAGAATCAGCCCTTAAGGCATTCGGATCTGGCTGAAGAGCCCATGAGAGTATTATAAGCATGGAAAGCCAAGACACTCTGGAAAAAAAAAAAAAAAAGAGGACCTAAATGAAAGATCTCTGCGAATGAGATCCCAGTAGAAAGAATGGGCCATCAAAGGAGGTACCTTTCTCTGAAGGGAGGAAAGAACTTCCACTTTGACTATGACCTTGTCTAAATAAGATCGAAGTCAGAAAACTCAAAAGGCTTCCATAGCCTTGGCAACTCATGACTAGAGCCTAGGGAGATAACTGATGCCATAAACAAGAGTGTCAAATTGTTAAGTCAACAACAGGAGTCACTGTGTACTTACTCCTCATGTAGGATCTCTGTCCTTAATGTGTTGTCCAATGTGAATTAATGCTATAACTAGTACTGAAACAGTATTTTACACTTTATGTTCTGTGTGGGTGCAAACTGATGAAATCTTTACTTAATGTATACTAAATTGATCTTCTGTATATAAAGATAATTGAAAAATGAATCTTGATGTGAATGGAATGGGAGAGCGAGCGGGAGATGGGAGGGGTGCGGGTGGGAGGGAAGTTATGGGGGGGAAAAAGCCATTGTAATCCATAAACTGTACTTTGGAAATTTATATTTACTAAATAAAAGTTTAAAAAAAGAAAAAAAGGAAAAAAAAGATTTATTTATCTTGAAAGAATTACAGAGAGAGAGGGAGAGACAGAGAGATCTCCCATGCACTTGTTCACTCCTCAGATGGTGCAATAGCCAGTGCTGGGCTAGGTCACAGTCAGGAGCCAGGGGCTTCATTTGGGTCTCCCATATGTATGCAGGGGTCCAAGAAGTTGGGTCATCCTCAGCTGCTTTTCTCAGCCACATGAGCAGGGCATGTCATCGGAAGAGGAGCAACCAGGACATGGACCAGCACCTATATGGGATGCCGGCATCACAGGCAGTGGCTTTACCCTCTATTTCCACAATGCTAGTATCATGAAATTTATAGCTTTACTCACAAAATATTTAAAAGGAAAGAAAAGGTTTAAAATTGGTAACCTAAGATTTCAATCAGAGAGCTAGAGAAAAATAACCCTGATAGAAACAGAAGGAAATAATAAGAATAAAGTTGGAGGCCAGCGCCGCGGCTCACTAGGCTAATCCTCCACCTAGCGGCGCCAGCACACCAGGTTCTAGTCCCGGTCGGGGCGCCGGATTCTTTCCCGGTTGCCCCTCTTCCAGGCCAGCTCTCTGCTGTGGCCCGGGAAGGCAGTGGAGGATGGCCCAAGTGTTTGGGTCCTGCACCTTATGGGAGACCAGGAGAAGCACCTGGCTCCTGCCTTTGGATCAGTGCGGTGCGCTGGCCGCAGCGCGCCAGTCATGGTGGCCATTGGAGGGTGAACCAACGGCAAAAGGAAGACGTTTCTCTCTGTCTCTCTCTCACTATCCACTCTGCCTGTCAAAAAAAAAGAAAAGAATAAAGTTGGAATTGATGCAATTGAAAATGAATAAAGCTAAAAAAAAGAAAAAAGTTTCACTAAGAAAAATCAGTAAAAATATAAAGTAATAGGTACAAATAAGGCAAAAATACAATTTGACAATATAGGGAATGAACAAGGAGATATCACCAAAGACACAAGAAGATAACGAAATATGAGTAGGTCTCGATCTATTAGAGACTGAATTCATAATTTTTTTTTAAATTTTATTTTTTTGACAGGCAGAGTGGACAGTGAGAGAGAGAGACAGAGAGAAAGGTCTTCTTTTGCCGTTGGTTCACCCTCCAATGGCCGCCGCGGCCGGCGCGCTGCGGCCCGCGCACTGCGCTGATCCGATGGCAGGAGCCAGAAGCCAGGTGCTTTTCCTGGTCTCCCATGGGGTGCAGGGCCCAAGCACCTGGGCCATCCTCCATTGCACTCCCTGGCCACAGCAGAGAGCTGGCCTGGAAGAGGGGCAACCGGGACAGAATCCGGCACCCTGACCGGGACTAGAACCCAGTGTGCCGGCGCCGCTAGGCGGAGGATTAGCCTAGTGAGCCACGGCGCCGGCCTTGAATTCATAATTTTAAACATTCCAAAAAGAAATCTCTAGTCCCAGATGGTTTCGATCAAACTTTAAATTATGTCAAACATTTAAGGAAGAAATAATACTAATCTTACACAAAATCTTTCAGAAAATAGAAGGAATCCTCCCAATTAATTTTATCAGGCCAGAAAAATCATGACACCAAATTCAGACAAGAAAATTACACACTGAGATCCCCCATGGAAAAGTTATAAAAATAAGTAAGTAAAATCTCCTCACATTGAATCAAGCCATGCAGAAAAATAATACTATATCAAGATCAATGGGGGGCCCACATCAGGAATGTAAAGTTAGTTAAGATTTGAAAACCAATCAATGTAACTTACTTACTATGTTAACAGCAAACCAAATAAACCATTATAAAAACTTAAAAAAAAAAAAGAATAGAACATAACTTTTCCAAACTTAATAAATAAAAGGTAGCCATGAAAAGCTAATCTTCTTAATAGTAAAAGTCTAGTAGCTTTCCCCCAAAGATCAGTGACAAAGCAAGAATGTCAGTACTTACCACTTCTGGTTAGCACTGTATTAGCTGTAACAGCCAGTACCACACAGTGAGAAAAGGGCAATAATGATTGGAAAGGAAAAAATACACCTGTCTTTATTCACAGATGATGACTGTGTATATAAAAAATCCTTAGAAAATACTAGAACTAACAAATTTATTAAGACCACAGAATACAAGATTACACAAAAATCAATTATATTTGTATGTACTAGTAATAGACAAATGAAATAAAAATGCAATATTGTTCATAATAGCATCCAAAACCATAAAATGTTTAGAGA